TGGAACAAGGTGGCCCACATCGTGGAGCTGGATGCACAGGTGAGGGGTGCCTGGCTGCCTCAGCTTTGATTCAAACACCTCCAGGCCCAGGGAGCCCGGGAGGCCTCCGGCGGGCCCTGCACCCTGGGTGGCACCACTAGAAATTCTGCCCTTCGGTGGAGCTGAAAGCATGCACCCTTGGACTCTTAGAGGCTGCCGAACGAGCCTGCCTGTTCCCACCAGCCTCCAGCTTCCATCTTCCCTGGCCTGACTATTCCTCCGTCTCTGCGCCTGCAGGAATACGAGCTCCTGGTGCTGCCCGAGGCCTTCACCATCCACCTGCCGCACACCCCAAGCCTGGACATCTCCCGCTTCCGCTCCAGCCCCACCTATCGGGACTGCCTCCAGGCCCTCAAGGACGAATTCCACCAGGACTTGTCCCGCCACTATGGGGCTGCTGCCCTCAAATACCTCACTGCCCTGCAGCAGCCCCGAGGGCCCGCCTGACCTCACAGGCAGCTCTCCCCTGCCTGCACCTTGGGCTTGCACACTCCTTGCAGACACTGGAGCAATTTTGCTGCCTCCACCAAGCCTCACCCAGCTATTTAAGTTATTTAAGATTTCTGTGGGAAGGGCTGCGCTGGGGATCCTGGGGGGTTGGGGAGGACCTGGGGACCTCCCATGGCTGCTCTTCTGTAGCTAGGGCTCAGCCTCCCTCTGCCACAGCTGAGTTGGGGCGGGTTCACCCATCCTCAACTGTGTGTCTCTTTTTCGTAATTAAAGGTTGAAAAACTCCTTTTCCTGTTCCTCCTGGCTTGGGGTGTGAGGGTGTCCGTGAGCCCAGGGGCAGGGGTGGGTCGCAAGAAGGCAGGTCCGTCTGGAGGTGGGACTGGGGTGTCTCACCCACCCTCCCGTGCCTCAAACCCAACACCATGAGGCTGAGAGACTTTATTTGGCTTTATTTAGTAAAATGTTAAAATAAATAAATACAAATTGATCAGCTGCTCTGTATCCCCCCCACCCCCTTAAAACAAAAACCAAACAAACAAAAACAAAACTTTTGAAGCACAAAACTCCAAATACAAGTTCTACCAAGACTGAAATCACAAAGGGTGTGGACAAGAGACAGGACTGGGGGCTGGCTGGCTCTTTCCTGCTCGGAGCTCGCCGACCTCTGGCCTGCCTGTCCTGTCCTGCCTGACTGCAGCTTACCCTGGCCTCAGCACCCAGGGACACTGGAGAGGTGCAGGGGCCAGAGGCTGCGATGGGGGACACTGGAGTCCTCAGGGAGGAAGGGCCTCGTGGGAGGGGTGCGAAGTGGAGTTGGCGAGTCCTGCCCTCTTCTTCCAAGGGCTGTTTTTCAGAGTTCCAGCCCTGGCTCTGCGGAGGGGGTAACCACCAGCTACCCCCCTTCACTCCTGCCGGAGGGCCAGGGGAATCTCGGGGGCTATCCCCTCCTTTCTTGGAAAGGAGCTAACACTGAGGGCAGGCTGTACGTCAGGGTGGGAGGGGGTTTCTTGTTTCCTGCCAAGGGCGCCCAGCTGAGGGGTAGAGGTGAGGCCCAGTCATCACACAGAGCAAAGACGCCTCGATCAGCTGAAGCTGCGGAGTCTGGAGAACCAGGGCCTAGAAAGTGTCCTTGGGCTACCGTCCATCCTATTACCTGAAGAGCTTTTGTTCCTAAGTGAAGCCCTTTGGAGACCTAGGAAAGACCACAGACTAAAAGGTAGTCAGGGGGAGAACCCACTTAAGAGCATATTGTCTGAGCTGGGAATGAAGGCCCAAGGAGGCCCGAAGGCCCCAAAAGAGGGAGCATCAGAGATGGCTGAAGAGGCAGGACTGTCTGCGCAGAGACTGAGGAGAGCTGGGCCCACCGCCACTTTGCGTGGTGAGCAACTGCGCCCACTCACACCACCCTGCCAAGCCCGAGCCGTGAAGCAGCAGTGACAGAGGCGGGCCCCGCACAGAACCCTGCACTCGGGCGGTGCCAGCTGGGGGCTGCAGAGGCCGTGTTGCTGGGCTCACGCAGGGGAGGCCTTCCGAGCCCCTGCTCAGGAGGCCGCCCCGCAACGGGTCGCTGTGCCAGGCACTACAGGCAGGCTTGCTCCAAAAGGCCTGATAAGGAAGGAAGGAGCAGAACTCTGAATGAGCTCAGCAGAGGTGAGGCAAGACCCGGCAGGCTTGAAAGAAAAAGGACCTGCAGGCGGCACTGGCAAGAATGTGAGGGACGAGGACAGCAGCATGATCTCACTGCCCCCAGGCGCGCCGCCGAAGCCAAGGGATTGACAAGAAAACGTCTCCTGATCAAGGGCCAGGTGGGCAGCCCGTCCTAATCCCAGACCAGCAACGAGGCCTCTGAAGCAACTGCAAAGCCAGCTGGCCCCAGACGTGTCTATCAGTGGCTAAATCAGGCAGCAGAAAGGAAGCAGGAAGAGGGAGGTGGAGGAGCTCAGCGGGGCCGGGCGTGTGCTTCAGGTGGTCACTGGACCCCACAGGTCCGGGGGGACACAGAGGTTTTCTCTTGCCAGAACAGTGAAGGAAAAAGACTAAGGTCTTTGTAGTAAGGAATGTTCTGGAACTTGAGTCCAGCATGTGGGAAGGGGGTAGGGTTGCATCATGTACTCCATACTAGCCGCGCCCCCAGGCAGCTCACACTTGAACTACAGCAAGCATCCACATCCTCACCCTAGGCAAGGTCAGACGATAACTTGCTCACGGCAGCAGGTAGAACTCGGGCCAATTCCTAACCCTGTCCCCGGCCCCCTGGAGAATCCTCAGGCAGCGCCTTTCTGAGTAAAGGCCTCAGGTAACTTTCCAACTTCAAGAAAAGACACAGGGCGGCGTATGGCACTCCGCCCCCACCCCTGCGCGGCCCAGACAAGTCAGAAGGCAGAGCTCTAAGCCAGGGTGCACAGCCAGGCTGGGCTCTGAACCCCTGCCAACCGCCTGACTAGCCCAGGCATCTCCAAAGCTCCCAGACTACACTTAGCACCTTGGTTTCTGCATGAGAAAAGGGAGCTCCTCTCCTCCAGGGGCCTTCACAGCCAGGGCCTGCCTGTGCCCTGTGCGGCCACTCTTAACTCTTCCAGCAGCTCTGGTAAGATGAACGGACGGGGCTGGTAGAAGTGGGGCACCTTTCACCTAAGGGGTATCTCTGTATGTTATATTGACTTCAGGATCCTCTCGGTCTCTCTGAGCCTAACGGGGTGAGGGAGAAACCAGTAGGACCTCTCTGCCCCTCCTAGGCTCTGGTCATTATGGGGCAGGGTGGGGGGCAGAGGTGCAGAGAGCTCTGCCTCCCTTCTGTCAGTCAGATGCACGCAATGGGCGAAGGTCTCTATGGAGAGCACACACCTGACAAGGTGTATTTCCCAGAAGGCAAGATGACAAGATGGTCCGAGTCCTTCAGGACCTTGTGGTTTTCTCAAGAACGAGAAAGGCTAAGCAGAGGCAAGCACAGCGCTTCTGGCCAAAGGCCACCCAGGAAGCTTGTGGGTGAACAAGGTAGACTAAATTCCATCTCTGGTGCCTGGAGCCAGCAGGCAGAGAGAGAGGCTGGAGATTCAGACCTCTCCCCCAAGGCAAGAAGACACAAAGGCCACGCCTGAGCTGTCTGTCTGGGAGACACCTGCACCCTCAAGACCTCGCGCTCCTTTGTTCTCTCTAAGCACCAAGAGCTGATGCGGCCAGCCTGTCCCCCGCACCCTCCCACAAGGACAGGGCATGCGGGTACCTCGAGCTTCACTGTCTCCTTCAGAGTCGTCCCCCAGGCACTCATAATGCTGGTGGCGGAAAGACCGAGAGCAGCACCAATGGAAGGGTCTTACTGAGGCACCAGCCTTTTTTGTTCTAGCAAAATCCGAGGAGACAACAGGGAGGGCCCTGAAACCAGCCACACTCCGCTTGGGCTTCAAAAACAGGAGCCAAGATCCCTGCAACTGAGAAAAGAGGACAATCTTTTCTGAGGAGGGAGAAAGGGGGTAGAGGTCGGCCGGGCCCTTCAGGGCTGCGGCCGTCCCTCTGGAGGACAGAAACCATGGAGACTGGCCCACCAGTCTTGAGACACAGACACAGCAAAATGGCATCATGATCAGCAGGTTCTGTGCTAAAAAATTATAACTACACAGCATTTTCTCCAGTTCTGACACCTTTTTTAATAGAAATCACTGTTTTTAGGAAACAAATAGCACTTTGTAATTTTTTTTACAATGTTTCTTACCTTGATCTTAATTTAAGTAACACTAGGAAGACCTCAATATCTTTTATTTTCCTTTTTAATTTAAAAAAAAGTTGTTGTTGTTGTTTTCCCCAGATACAAAGATTTTTGCCCTTGCATAAAAAAACAGTGCCCCGAACGATGACACAAGGACGCACACGGACTCACTGACCTCACTGACACTAGGATTCCTACTCTACCATGCAAGGTCTCGACTACCCTTAAGTGGACTGTCAGCCTGAAAAACAGCTTTTCTATTCCTTATTTTAGTTTTTGTTACCAAAAAAGTAAAATAAATGACAAAATAAAAACTTTTTTAAAAAAAAGAAAAAAAGAACAAAAACAAAAACAGAAACTAAAAAAAAAAAAAGAGAGGAAAGAAATGTCTCCATTCGGTTCACACACACCTGGGCCGCGTGCCGCTTCGCTCAGGACCTTCTCTTCTTATAAATATAGAAAAGGGATGGAGCTTGTTTTCAAGTAAAATCACTGATCCACCTTTTTCCCTTCCTCAACACACACACCCTTCCCTGCCCCGGGGCCTGGGCTGGGGCCCGGCCCTGCCGCTCCAGGAGAGGGAAGAGAACCTGACCTTCCGCGGGGTGCTCGCCAATTTGCCAAAGCAGGGAAGGAATCTGGGAGGTGGCGGGGCGCCCACGGCGGGAGTCCCGTGCTCGGGAGAGGAACCCGGAGGCCGTTCCCGTTCCCGCTGTCGTCTCCGGCTCCCCAGCACCGGCCCCCGCCGCAGACAGACGACAGGAAATACTGCTATGTGATATACTTCTCCCACCCCGGCCCCCTCCCATCCCCTCCCCATCCCGCCTCTGGGCACTGGGGTTGCTTAAATCTCAATTTCCTTTTTTTTTGGTTTTATAGTAGTGAAAGTTTAGAAACAGGAAAGCCCACATACTCTTTGGACTTGTCTTCTCTACCTAAACAAACTGCTCGGCAAATAAGGATCTGAAACCTGCTCTCCTCCCTCCGCCCGTCCCTGCTCCCCACCCAACAAAACAAAAACAAACCCATCGTGGCTGTGGAGGCTGCTGCAGGCACACACTGGTGTATAATAGAGAGAGTAAATATATTATTTCACTTGGCATGGTGCTGGCAAAGAACCTCCAGCTGGCACTATTTCATGTAACATGGTCCAATCTTTGCATGTACACACAGAATAAGAAGGATCAATTGGCAAGCTCTGGTGCCACCTGGCACAAGCATCTTCTCTCTCTCTGGAACCAAAGAACCAAAAGAATTCTGTACTTTCCAGAAGAAATCCGGCTTTGCTTTTCTAGAGTCTTCAGTGTTTTGCTCTCTTTGCCGCCGGGATCCCGTGGCTTCTCCTAGCGGGGCTCTGTTATTTAGTCTCTTCCCCCTGGTTACAGTTCGCTGTGCAGCTCTGGGAGGAGGGGGAGGGGGCCGGCGTGGAGGTGGTGGCATTGGCAGGGGGCGTACAGTCCGGGCCATTGGAGATGGCCCCCACAGTGGCCTCAGAGTCTACAGGTTTGGAGAGGTCGATGCCGTGGATGAGGCGGATCAGCTGTTTTACCTTCTCCAGGGAGCTGTGCATCTCCTTCTGCCGGGCCAGGATGGTGTTCTTCATTTCCATGCATTTCTGCAGCAAACGAGAAGGGAAGCAACACTGAGCCTCCTGCTTTTCTAACCAGCCTGGCAGTCCTCTCCAGGTAAAAGGAGCCTGCAGGGCTCGTGTGCAGCCCCTGGCCCTTGTTCTGCTTCACCCTGGAGTGGGTGCTGCTATGCAAGGGAAGGAGGCGGCCAGAGAGCTAAGAGAGAGGGGAAGTGAGTGGTTTCAAAGCTAACCCTACCTGACACTAGGACTTCAAACCATATGTGAATTACCAGGCTACTACCATGAAATAAAAGCCCTGCTGAAGCTGGCTGGGCAGGTATGCGTGGGCTAGGCTAAATGGGTGCTAATGTGCTCAGGACTGCACTGAGCTTCCTGGGCTAGAAAATGAGCCAGTGGCATCTGGACTCCATCTGAGAGCCTACGGAGGATCATTAGGCAGCCAGCATTTAGAGGTAGGGCTTGGGTGGGACATACAGGGGATTTAGGAGACTCAGACTGCAGCTAACAGTCAGAATCTCTGTCCTCAGCCTCCCACACTTGCTGACTTCTGTTCTAGGGTCCTAGATGAGAGCTGTGTATGGCATGGGGAATATGGTGCATAGGAGAAAGCAAGCCAGTGGGTAGCTCAACTGCCACCGTGTCCAAGGCACCACCTGGTATCTGTGAGGGCACCTCACACCAATGGGGGGACTACTCAAAGGAAGAGAGAAGCCCCTGAATCCCTGCTGCAAATACAACCCTCCTTCCAACCGGACAGGCCAGGCTGAGCAGTATTCACGTCCAATACTTGTCTCTAGAAAGCCCTCTTCCTTAGGCTGGTCAGAAAATCTTCAAAATACAATTAGCACAATGTGGAAGAGAGCTCAGGAGACTAGAAGGAATCACATAGGGCATCTGGTCTGCATCTGCCAGGCCTCAGAAGAGGCCACACACTCCTCCCAAACACCCTCAGGATGACACTGAGCTGGTGGCAATACTGCTGCATCGTAGCTGCGACCACCGATACTTCTCTAGCCCAGAGATGGAAAATCCGCTCTCAAATCAAAGCCAAGAGGACATTCTGGAGCTTGGCTAAGGTGCTATATACCAACTGTTACTCTATATATTGGTAAATATATACATAGTATATCGCTATATAGACATTTGCTCCAAACCCTAACTGGAGGCAAAGTTTGTAGCTATAAATAAGCTGAAGGACCTGACTTGGCCCTGGGGAGCTGCTGCCCCGTGTCTATCACCGAAGGCAGGAGGGTGACTTACACTTATAGAATTGCTGAGCTGTTTCACCTTCTGCTCTAGTTGTTCTCGTTCTTGTTTTAAATCTGAACTCCATTTAAGTAACTTCTGTTTCTCTTCTTCTTTTGCTAAAAAGAAAAAAAAGAACCTGTTTTTCACAAGGAATTCTTCAAAGAGGTCACTATGTTAGGGATACTTGCCAAAAAAAGGCATTTTCTCTAATGTGCCCGGAGTCCCACCACCGTGCAGAACCTGCACATGTGGATTAAGGCGACTGTCAGTATCCTGCACCTGGCTTTGCATAAATAAGATAACATTTCTGGTTTTTTTCTCTCCAAGAAAGTGTTACATGAACTTCCTACTTCATTGAATCAAACATTTTCATTTTTAACTGTAAATTTCCTTTTAGAAACAAACAAAAAAAAATGCTCTAGCACTTTTTTATTTTTCACATCGGGGAGACAACTAAATAAGGCTTACTAAATAATAAAATAGTATGGATGATTCTTTACCTGCTTTGTAGGCAATATAGGAATGAACAATTGCTAAAGTTCCAGGCCAGGGAATTGCTTCTTCTTTCTTGAGCATCTGAAAAGATTTTTAGAATTTTACTTTAAGAAGCAGGTGTACACACACGCAGCCCCTGTGTAACAACAAGCCGTGTGTCTACAGCTGCTGGCAGTCAATTTAGGAAGAATATATGGTGGCAGTGCTGTAAAAACTTGGTTTACAGCTGCTGGACTCTACCAAGCTGAGAGAATGAGGTTCACTGGAGGAGCTACACTCCTCAGCCCGGCTTAGAAACAGGCTGGCTCATGCTGGGCACCTACGTGCAGCGTGACCCCAGATACTCTGGCAGCCAGACTCCCCAGCACGCAGCTGACAGTCTACACAGTGCAATAGCCACGGGCTGGTACATCCTTACCTGACATGGCTGCCTGTGCAATTTGAGCTTTCTAAGTCCTCAAAAACAGCCTGATCAAGGACAGAAAACATAAATAGACCCTGTGTAGAAAATCACCAGCGGGTCACAGAGCAGCATCCAGGAAGAGAACACTCAGAGTTGTCTCTACAACATCATGAGTGAGGACCCAAGTTAAAAGGGGAAACCGTGATTCTCTCAAATCATGATTCCAAAGAACTGAGCAGGATCCCAAAGCTTGCTGAGCTACTGGACATTTATTATTTATATTTTGCCTACTTCTAAAAAAGATGTGAGACAGCTTGTAGTGAAAACAAAGACATAAAGATAAATGGATAGCTGAGAAAAAGGATTTTATTGGGTCTGGACCATTCTTAGAGAATGAGGCAAAGTCTTACAGACTTTCAAGGGGTCAGGTAATGAGACTAAGTCATTTCAAATAAAGAGAAGCAGTTAGGGTCTCTTCACTGGTACGTGAAGTCACTGCCTCATGAATACACCAGAGACCCTCCGAGAATGGACACTGCATGGGAGAGTGCTGAGCTCTGAATAGGGCAGATGTGGTCTCGTAAGAACTACAGGGGAGGAAAGAGATTCTGCCATTACTGCAGATTAGAGGGCACAGGTCCTCCTGACCACACTGTCTTTCTCCTTTGCCCCTTACCCGACTGACCCACCCACAGTACCTGGTCCTGACATCTGGGACAGATCCACATGCCCTTAGGAATTGTTTTCAGAGGAGGGTCTAAGCAGTCCAGATGATACACACGGGAACATGTGTCACACATCAGCAACTGGCCGCTTTTTCTGCATACACTGCAAAAATCCTCATGGATATCACCCTATGAAATCAAGAGGAAAGGTAAGAGAAAGGACAGAAAAGGTAAACTTTGAATATTAACATGTACATTCTGGATACATATAAATGCTTTAGGATAATCTTCCGACATGCTATGAGTGATGAAGAAAACTGGGGTATCATCAATGGAACAAGTGTCCACCTGCTCCACATGACTTAAGTTTCTCAGGTAGGGACAGTATTCTGAATTTAAAGCAGAGTTTACTGGAAATCCCTGTAGTCACCTCGGCCAAAATTAATGTTACAGGTGATAGCACAGCAATTTTATGTATTGGTAGAGTACAACCCACATTCAGATAGCTTGAAAATAGTGAAATCCTTTATCAACCTGCTTCCACGTTAGGATACAAACAATTCTCATTATCATTTTGGGGGGAAGTTTAGAAGAACTGTTCAGGGAGAAAAAAATATATAGTGGAAGTTCAACCAGGAAAAGATTAAGTCAGGAACAAATTAACCCCTATGAGCTTTCTACCAAGAAGATTTTAAAAAGCCAAAGCAGCAGCTGACAATGTTATCTTAAAATCAGTATTTGGCATTTATTGTTCAATGGGCCATTTTATTCTGGAAGGCCTCTTTCCTCCCTATGAAATACTTTGCTAGATGGAAAAAAGAGCAGCCCCAGGGCACTCTGCCTGTCTCCCCCAACCCCACCAGGGATAAGTCCTGGCACTTGGGTAAGCATGCACGGGCCCTCTGAGCAGAAGGCACCGTCAGAAAAAAGCAGATCTGAAATTTGGAAAGAACACAGGGGAATAAAGTGAGGTATTAAAGAAGGATTTTTCAGCAAGTCAATGCCTGGCATGTTCTCCGAACAGGATTAATGCCGCTGACCAAGGACACCAGGGAAGTGAAGACGGAAGGGAAGTGTCAGAAGTTAGTAGCAGGGCAGCACCCACAGTTTGGAGCAGACCCCTGTTTCACTTCCAATGTGTTGTTTTAGATTTCTAGGCTATTCTGCCAGAAGGTCTAACAAAAACTTTTCAGAAGAAGCAACGAAACATAGAGCAACGCCCTGTTCTTCCTTTTTATACCCCCTCAACCACCACCACTGAAGGAATATATCTACACAGACTTAACAATTACGCTCTAAAGGAAAGAAAATGTTCTTTACAGAATTAGATTCACTAGGGTATATGGCAGCCTTGAAAACCAGCTGCAAAAAGTTCTAAGATACATCAGTGTGTGGATGGATTTTAGTCTCTGGCCAGTAGAAAAAGGTAGTCAGTACATGCACAAACCAGTGCATGAGCATTCAGTCTAACAGTTTAACTTCCAGGCCCTGAAAGAAATAAGGTATGACTCCCCCGAAAAACTGTGACTTTCTTCTTTCATCTTTAAAATCAAGCTGAGAGAGCTAGTTTCCCTAAAACGGTAGCCCCATGTTGGGGTCTGCATCTTTATGAAGTTCACACAAATATTATGGCTTCAGAGACTGCTCACTTTCTTTTACTTCTGATCAGGAAGCAGAAGGTAGAGCACACATAAAATCAAGGTTAAATTATTTCAAGTTTCTGAAGGAAAGCAATCTTCCTAGCCTGTTTACCAATCCCATAGCAGCAGTTCTTCATCTTTTTTGGTGTTTAAAGTCCCCTTTAAACTCCTCAAATTACTAAGCACCTCAGGAGCTACTGCTTATGTGAGTTTTATCTACTGAGATTTATTATATTCTAAGTTCTACAACTTTTTATTTTGAAATAATTACAGAATCATAGAAATTACAAATATGGTGTATTAAAAAATAACAAACCCCAAAATATACAAGTTACACATTTTATTAGTCATCAGAGTGTTGACATTATCGCACACCATGCAGTATCTGGAAAACTCCAGTGTTCACTCTTGAGAGAATGAGAATGAAAATAGCAAAGAGTATTTTAGTATTATTACAAAAATAGTTCGGACATAATGGTGCCCAGAAAGAGTCTCAGGAATCACACTATGAGTACTGCCTATAGAAATGAATATAAAATTCCAAGATACATCACCCATCCGTACAGAATTGGTTCTTTGCTTAAAGAGCGCAGGGGAAATGCTGCACCATGGAAGTGCAGCCTCAGGTCAAAAGGTTGAGACTTTGGTGACTGATCAAATTATCACCATGAACCAAATGATAAAGTGGAAGATGGTTCTTTGTAGAAGATAAAGACATGCACTTCTTTTGAAAGCACCCTAGCTATATGAATTACGACTTCATCATTTGCTAAAAACTTGTTTTATAACTATGCCAAGCTATCTTCTCTTCTCATAAAAGTGATGATAGTGGCAACAAGGTACATCCTGAGGATTAGTGTCCGGCTGGGGCTTGTATCAGCAACCCCTTCTTGATGGCTATTGATTCCAAGGAAATGCCTGCCTCTCAACTGTGATTGTTTAATTAATGTTGTCAGGGCTTATGCCACCCAGCAGCAAACATGCAGAGCCCTGGGTGTTGATTTTAATCACTGCCACTGCTGGGATACTGCGAAAGTAGAAGTCAATTATCTTTTTAAAAATTTCATTCCACTGGGTTTAACTTAGGAAGTTCTCAACGTATTTTAGTGGTTTAGTAAAGCTTTCTTTTATCTTTAGATTTCTGAAAAGAACAATGCTTGCATTTTAAGATGAAACCTGGCAGAAGCTTTTAGCTTGTGATTTGATCTGAGTGGACCCTTTGGTTCAGTCTTCCAAGAAGTCCCTAAGCCCCCTCAGTCAAAAATCACAAAAAACAAAACAGCATTGTTGAGGAAAGAGACACACACGCAGAGCCACAGAAGCATATGTTCCCCAGCATTTATGCGCCACCCTAGATGGAGATCCTTACCAAGAAGCCATGAGCTGGCAACTCCTTTGGGACGGCTTCAACTGAACGATCTTTGTTGCTAGCAAACAAGGTTTCTGACAGGGACTCCTGGTGTCCATTAACAGGACAGGCAGAAAACCTGTATCATTTACTCATGCCAAAAGTCAGGAAAGCTAGATGAAATGCTGAATCTTCATGGCAAGACTGGGTGGTAGCCACCAGCTGTGCCAAGGAAGGAAACCTAGCCAGGAGAATATAACTCTTCTGTGATCTTGGATGACCCTGCCTCTCCAAAGATGACACTCCCTTTGTTGCTTCTGGAATTTTTACTCAGGATTTGCAAATGCTACCCTTCTGCTCTTTGGGGAGGGTAGGCCATTAATAAGTTCGGAGGACCTTCAAGTTCAGGGGACATTTTACCTGAAGATGACCCTACAGACAAGAAGTGGGACATGTACAAAATGAAACTAGGTTTCCCTTCTCAAACCTGATCTTCCTGTCATCATTTGCTTCATTCTTCTAGCTGTTTATGCCACAACCTGGGATTCACCCTTGACTATTCTCATTTTCTCATACCCCATTACCCAATCCCATTGGCTCATCAAAACACGCAGCTCTGGTAACTCTTCTCCATGTCTACTCTCCCGTCTGATTAGGCCAAGTCATCACTGGTTCTTGCCTGGACGACAATAGCCTTCTACCTAGTCTCCTGCTTCCATCCTATCTATCCTCCCCTGCCTCTTCTCTATTTCAGACACAGCGATCTTTTAAAATCCTAATCAATTTTACAATCACCATAAATACAATAAATGCAGGCAAGAACCATTAAAGGATGTTAAAAACCACTGGGTAAGAGTTTTCTGGGGAACTAGGTACTTATACAGACTCAAACTTATCTCCATCAGAAGAAACAGACAACTTTGCAAGTGAAGAAATTTGATGGGAACTATCATAAGAGAAGAAAGGTAACACGCCCACGAGTGGGACAGACTGACATCATGTGCCTCCTGCTGTGATGCGCTGAGGACTCATCATCACTTATTTTGTGGCCTGTGAGAATGCATCCCCGAGTCTATTTGTGAGGAAAAACACACCCAAACAGAGGGGCAACGCACATATAGCAATTGCTGTTTTAAAGTGTCAACGTCATGAAAGACAAAGAAAGGTTGGGGAACTTCCAGAGTAAGGAGACTGAAGAGACAACATCATGACAGTAAGTGTCCACAATGACCTTGAATTCGATCCTAGAGCATAGAAAAGCCAATTATTGGGACAACAGAAGAAATCAGATATGGACAATATATTATGTAATATTTTGTCACTATTAAATTTCTTCAATTCAATAACTACATTGTAACTACACATGAGAAAACATCTCTGTTCTTAGGAGACATACACTGATGTATTTGGGGTGAAGATCCATGACATCTGCAACTTCTTAATTAGTTCAGAAAATGTGTGTGTGTGATGGGGAGAAGCATATTTGGCACAGTGGTAACAAGAGGTGAGTCTAGGTGAAGGATGTGTATACATATGTGTATGTGTCTGTCTGTGTATGTTCTTTGTATAGTTCTGCAACTTTTCTGTGGATTTGAAGTTTTTCAAATTAAAAAGTTGAGAAATTATGTCACTCCTCAAAACCCTGTAGTGGTTCCCATTTCAAGAGCCACAGCCCTGCCACCTCTGGGTCTCACCTCTGCTCACTCCACCCCAGTCATCCTGGCCTTCTTGCTTTTCTTCCATGCCATGCACACTTCCACATCAGGGCCTGTGCATTACCATCCCCTCTGCATGGAATGTTTTTCCCACCAAGTACTCTGCACCCTATCAGAGGGACTTTCTTTCTCTACTCTTACTCATGAAAGAGCAACCTTCCTGCCACGACTCCTGAAGCCCCTGATTCTGTCCCACTTTTCTTCACTGCACTTACTACCACCTGACATATTACATGTTCATCTGTGTATCACCTGCTTCTGGCCATACAATATGAGCTCCTCCAGGGCAGGGAGTTATTCTGTTTCCAGCTGTGTGCCCAGCCTCAGGAACAATGCATGCTCAGCAGAGTAGGGCTCAGTATATATTCCTTAAATGAATCCACTACTTTGTAAATGCTCTTTTAAAAACTCAAGGGACTGTTTACAGTCTTGAATTCTGGGTGAAGGGTTACTAAGTATCTAACATTCTTTTCAGGAACCTATTTTTGATTAACTCTGCTGAGAAAAGGTGTTTTAAAGAAAAGTTTTCTACTTTTGGAATTCTACCTGAATCAGGAAACAAGGACAGCTAGGGGAAGATACACCTTGTTCATTTCCCCCACCCCCCAACACGGATGACAGCACTGCACACCTCTCAATTATATGCGCTGAAGTCCCTATCTCAGCCCTTTCCTGAGAACTCATTGACAGCCGATTAATCCAGGCTCTGAGAACTCTGTGTGAGCCTCCTGATGAATTTAACAAGATTCTCAAGGCCGTGGCAGGAGCTGGGGCCCCAGCAGAAAGCTGCCTTACATGGCATATAGTGTCCTGCAGGGATTACCGCTGTTCCAGGGTTAGTCAAGGAAATGCAGCTGGTAAGGAGACAACACATGATAACGGCTTCCCCATCTGAGCTCTCAGAAAGAGAGTGAGCTTTTCCCACGTTACTTACGTCTGTGGAGGTGGGGCTGGGCAGGGACACAGGCTGAACAGGTGCAGGGAAAGTGAATGTGGTCTCTGTCTTTTCATTTTCAGGGGAGTCAGGATGACTGGATGGGGGGGATGTTGGGGTAAGGGCTCCAAACCCCAGCACTGCATTGTATTTTGGAGGACGACCTATATACCAAGAGAAGGGAACAAAAGGGAAAAAAGGGGGAGGGAAAGAAAGGGGGAAAAATGATCTTACATACCTTTGGCCAGTGTTCCTCATTGGCTAGCATGGAAAAGGAAGTGAGGTAGCAGACAGAAGGTTAATACCACAGTCCCAAAGAGAGGAAGAGAAGCACAGATTTAAATGTCATCAGAAACAACTGCAGGAGTCTCAAAAGTTGGGAGAGTGAGAGAGCCTTGGAGAATGACAGGAGGTGCTGGGTCGTGTTAAAGGGCCTGGCCCTGCACAGACTGCGGTGACACGCGTGGGCTGTCACAATTTGAGGTTTCTAATGTGAGTACCAAGATGTCAAAGCTCAAAGGGAGCAAGGCCAGGAAGAAGATTTTACTTTCCATGTATTTTGCATATTGTTCTCTAAGATTTCTCTGCAACTATCAATCTGACAATAATATTAATGATTCTCGGTTTCCACCAATCCTATTATTCAGGATTCTGCTTTTCATTTCTCTCCTATCTACATTTTAGTCGTGTCACTGCTGGTGAGGGTAGAGAGGCAAAGTGAGGAGGCAAAATTCATGTTAATTACTCTTACTCTTTGCTGGTAGAGCTTGTGAGAGCTAAAAAGATGTGGGCTTAACAATGAGTTATGACCCTCCCAGGTGCTTGTCTCCCCACTGCACATCACAAACACTTGGTGAACCACATGTCTAAGAACTGGAGCTGTTCTAAAGTCTCAGGACAGGCCCTGTTGTCTGCAACACTGCTTAACTGAGAAATCTGATTTGCGTGAGAGCATTTTGAACCCCATCTCATGGCTATAGTGGGTCTTATCGATGAGCACTAATGGGTGTGGGAAGTCCAGGTCAACCGCTCTTGCCTTTCATACAGCTAATTCAGGGTCCATGTCACCTAAGGACCAGGGTCATAGCTTCCAAGCTGTCAGTGATAAAGTGTATGTGGAATACAAAGGTAAAGGAGAGAGCCAGAGAGGTACACACACAACAGCCTGCAAGCCCTGGTAGACGGTGCACAGGATCATGACTTTGCCAGCAGTTGTTGTTTATATTAGAATCGTGCACAGAGTCACGAATCTGTCAGACGCTACCTATCTGTGTTAAACCGGCAATGTCTGCAGCACAAAGACATATGTACTGGTTTGCCTTTTCTAGGGAATTTAGTGCTGCTAAAAGGGGAAGTAGAAGATGAATGCTCTTTGTTTACTCACAAAAGGCACATCTTAAGCATTGTGAATTCAAGGCTTTCATCCTCTGACCTTGGCAAGAGATGGCAAGGTCTTTCTGGCTCATTTAACCCCTGTTCTCTTAGCAGATACTGGCCACCAGCAGGCCAATTAACTGCCACTTCTGTCTGGGGGCTCCTTTTTAAAAAGTCTGTCAGAGGTCACTAAAAATTGCCAAAAAACAAAAACAAGACAAAATAACCCATGACACTAGTTATTGTGACCTAGGAATTCATATGGAGCAAAGACTTAGGGATTCCCATCTAAATATTTTTGACTACTTGGATGGGGCTGATGAAACATTTGGCTGGGTCGCTGAGGGAGAGTATACGATCTCCTTTTGTGGGTAGGAGGTGCTATCAGTATAGTCCAAGCCCAGCCTAAAGCAGAGGTAAGGTCAGGATGACCTCCGAAGCTGAGATTGTGTGTGCATACGCAAAAATTAGTATGCTACTCCACTCACTCTGCAACCTTTCTAGCCTGGAACTATAATTCAGGGACACATTATCATGTGGAGAAAGGGACCTTGGGATGTATTACTGACATCAAAGAACAATTTCAGAACCTTGTTTATGAGCTCAAACTCTGAGCTATTAAGACCTATTTAGACCTGCGTGGTGAGAGCTACTGCTGCTGCTACGGCTACTGCTGCTGCTGCTGCTGCTGCTGCTGCTGAGGCCTCTGCTGCCTAAGCCTCTGCTCTGCCTAAGAGTAAGGTGGATCCCCCCAACCCCAGAGGTGCGAAATATGAGGAAGGAGCTCTTTAGGAATTTTTGCTTACAGGGAGTCTGTTTTGACAGTGACCTTTTTATTCTTACATGGAGATGCCCTCTTTTCACAGGTTGTAAGTCCTAGGTATGGGTACCTCTCTCTTTCCCTGAAAGTCTGCAGGAACTTAAAGAATCATGCTCTTGTCTTGCTTGCAGCCTGAGGACTCAGACACTACCAAGAACACCTTGGCAACAGCAGTGCTCTGTTCTGCTTACTGATGCTAAAATGCTTCCTTTCACATGGTCTCTGCTCAATGTTGTTATTTGTGGGTGGTCTCCCTGCTGGGCCCGGACAGAAATGCTGCCTTAAGTCATTCCCCTGAGTCAGCTTTGCCAGAATCCCAGGAAAGGCAGCTTTTGAGTATACAGAAGTGTGGTAAGAAATCTCACCCTTTTTCTCCCCCATACTCAGGGAACAATAACAACAAAACTATTTTCAGGGGATTTAGGAGTTAGACAGGCTCTAGGACAATGGAAGAAGGGAGGGGGGGAGAAACACAACACAGAAAGCAAAAGCAACAGCAAGGGAGAGAAACAAAAAGATATTCACCTCTCTTCCGGGTCCCAGGATGCATTGTACTATTCAGGTATGTGACTGCACTCTTCTTACGCTTTGAGGATTGTAAAAGGAAAGGTGACTGGTTGTATAGTATGTTACTACTAATAATGGAACAAGATAAACCCAAACCCAGCATGCCTGTCAAGATGCCAACTAGTTTGTGCTTGTCACCCCAAGGTCTTGGTATTAAAGGGTTTTATTACATGTACTAGGCTCTGAGAGAATATTCCAGGGAGGTTTCCCTTCCCATCAGATGACAGTTGTGTTGAAGCCACAATAAGTTAAATTTTTAAGTCAGGGATATATCTGCTTAGACTCCGGGCAAAACAAAACAGAACAAGAAACTAAGGGGAAAGCACCGAAGAATAAAAATGGAATAATGCGGTCAGAGAAAAATCCATCATTTCCCCAAGCTGGTCAAATATAATCAGGGTGCTGCTTGTAAGGAGGCTTTCAGATGGGAGGTGCCGAACAGACGGACACGGAGACAGAGGGGGAGGCCACATGCTGGCCAGGAGTACCTCTGGCTCAAAGACTGCTCCACTGTAGACAGGATTTGCCGTTGTTCTTCTTTTTCGCTCTTGCCTCTTGCTTTGGATTTCTTGGGAAAGCAAAAGGTTTGGATTAGAAATATAGGAAGCCTAAAATGCTTAACTGCATTGTTTATCTACTGGTCTTCCCATGATAAATTAGAAACAGGGGCAAAACTTCTGGTTTCGCTGCAGCCTCTGCAGAGAAAAACATACTGCTGGGAGCAAATAGGTGGGACTAGGCAGTCTGACCTCTCAGAGAGCAAGACCACACTGTTCCACAATGTGAGGGAGAGCTTAACAGCAGACACTTGTAAACAAGGTGTTCAGATTTATTTTTAGATGACTGTAACATAGGTGTGGATGAACTTTATGCCCAGACCTTGGTTGAATAACCATAGTTCACCATTCTTGAATTAAGTAATCAATACAGGTACAGCTTTGTAACTGTTCTTAAGATTTTGATAACCTAGAATGATTGAAAAATATAAGGACTTGACAAAGGGGAATTTGCTGTTTTGTGCTTCAGGAGAGAAAAAAAGATACTGCCCTCCCACCTGAAGTCACCTTTTAAATTAGGCAAGTGGGGAGTTTCCCCAGGACAACAGTGTGGATACAAAAAGACAGGTAGGGGAGGAGCGGAACATTAGAGGGATGGCAACTTATATTCTAAAGGAATTAAAGTCCACACTGATTCCATTTATGTTAGAATTTCCTGTTCTAGCCATATATGAAACACCACTCATAAGAACAAAGTTCTAGACCAGAAGCAAGGCGGAGCCATGAATGTCTTCTCTTACCTTCTAGATGATCATGTGTTACCAACCCTAGAGACACCATGAAGGCAAGTTTCTGTGCCAGAGAAACAAAAGAAGAATACAATTCAGTTTGGGTTTTCACAAAGCCAATTGAATGTTCCTAGTTAGACACCTAGGGGAAACAGGCTTAGCAGGCCAATCACTTGAAGGAGGCTGAGTTCAGGTGAACAAAGAGTGGGCACCTGCTACTCTTAGCAGCCATGAGGTCACTCTGGAGGCTTTCTAGTCTTACTGGGGCCAAGAGAGAAGGACTGGGGCCTACATCTACTTTCTCAATGACACATGTCAGCATCTTGAATGACCTAAATTTTTTACAGGATCCTCTTAGAGAGAAGAGAATTTCACATTCAAAAAATATGCAGAGGATTACAAAGGGCCTCCCATACAACAAAGTTCATATTCTAGGTACTTCTCTTGTCACTGACTAGGTGCCTTTGTCAGGAGAGGTCAGAGTTTCTTACATTTCACTACTGGGCAATGCTAAAATGCTGACCCAAAGCTAAATGAACCTTAAAAGCAACAGCTGGTGGGTTTGCTTAATACTAGGTACAATCAAACATGCAATAAAACGTGGAGAGACGCCTCTCTTCAGACCACTGTCCTAAAGCTAGAGTGAATAGAATACTGCACCCCAAAGGTGGATTAGAGGCTTCAAGCTGGAAATAACAACAGTTTGATTCCTATTTTGCTCTTTGGTTGCATGTGGTATGCTGTATCACTTCATGTGGTCACTAAATCTCCCACATTTAATACATCATTAATTTCTTTTTCCAATGAGTAAAGAACACCATCAATTGTTAGAGGAGACATATTCATGTAGAATTATTTATATCACAGTTCGGTCTTTAAAGATTCTGACATTTTCTCCTCAACATTAAATATCAAGACATTTTGGCCTGAAGTGGTAAGTTCAGGCTAGTCAAGAGACTGAGTGTTTTATGAACATACAGTTCTCGAGCAAGCCACTTGAGAACACAGAAATGAGTTTTACTGGTGTCCTCAGTCCTGAAGAAATGTTTTTATTTTATTTCTTACTTCAAAACTTAGGTGGGCACCTAACTTCCTGACAGCCAGAACACTATAGAAAAGCAGTCTCACCCATTTTCCACACTGTATGTTGAAATGGCATAAGTTTTGTAGTTGCCAATTAACTACATTCCTAATGCTCACTATTAAAACTTTCTCAAGATTAGGGCCTTCCCTGGTGACACAGGTGGTTGAGTGCCGTGCTGTGAAGCTGCCGCAGCCTCTGCAGCGCCAGTTTGATCCCGGCCGGCCAGCCAGGGTCCCACATGGCGAAGCAGACCTCTCCTGTCTCGCCCGCTGCTCCCCTCAGCAGTGTATTTCATCAGTCTGCCTGTTCTGTTCCCCGCTCTGTCTATGGTGAAACCTCTCACCCTCCCGTGCATCGGGCCTGTACCCCAGTTCTTGTATAAATAAATAAATAAATCTTTTTAAAAAACCACTTTCTCAAGATTAAAAGGCTGCCTGCCCACTCTTCTCTGATAATAAAGCAGTATGGAAGCTGACAATGCGCCTTCTTTTAATCAAGTAACAGCACCCTTCTTGTCTACTTACATCTAATTTACCTTTGTAGTCTAGGTCAAGTTCACAAAAGAATTATATTAAGGGAAAAAAACCCTCTCTAGATGTTCTGATTAAAAAGAACAAAAAATTGTCAAGAACTTTTGCCTAGTTTATGAACCACATGTATGTCAAGAGCTAATGTGTTCTCTTTACAGATTAAAGTGATTCTAGCTAGAAAGTGAGGCATCTGTTGGTACACAAGAAGGCACTTGCTTGCCTCTCACTGTGCCACTGACCTAAAATATCCTTCAGTCTCTCTTGGTAAGAAAATTTTGCCAATGGCTTGCTCTAGTTTTCCTCTTCCAAGAATAATACTTGTCATTAATTTTGTAGATGATTTTATATGTTTCCCAGCAATTTGCGGGACTACTACTACTTTTTGGTTCACATTTTGGCCCCCTTCTTTAAAGATAAATTACAAATTAATCCACTTCATTTCAGTAAGAATTGTAATTTTTACTAGTTTAGAAAAACCTGAATTGGCTTACTAAACCACCGCATTAAAAAAAAAAATGACATGAAACTTTAATGGCTCATGCCACTATTTAACATGGTTTCATTACAAAGAATGCACTGAGAATAGAAGGAAATGTATTTCTGGTCTAATAAAATCCAGCTATCAGATATTCATCATCATATTACCTGTTCACATTTTTCTTTTACAGCCGCTTATGCAAACACATCAAACTAAAAATTTCTCTTGTCTAAGGACAAATTTACATTCTATATTTGTACCAGACTTGCTTGCTATTTATGTCTATAATTTGATCATAAGTTGTAGTACAGATGTTACTATTTTCATCCCTACTTTTATGCTTTAATGAAATACTTTTTGAGCTACTGATTCATTTGGGATTGGGGATCTAATGCAATACAATGGTAATAACAAAAATGCACTGTAACAACTGTAATCGATAACTTAAAGACATTATCTGAGGGAACTGCACACCTTATGAATGTTGGCGGAGACAAAGAAAACATTAATGATCATCAGGAATGAAACAGGATAGCAAGGAAAATAACCATTAATCTTACATTTCAAATTTGTAACAGGTGTATGAAATGCCTATTTGTCAGTTAATGGACGCTCCAGGCCACACTTGCAACCTGACTAGGAATAACATTACTGAATACTGAGAAAGTGCATGAAAAGGAAAATCAAGAGACTCAGCAGAGAGCAGGTGTTCCTTCTGGTAGGTGAGGACAAGTAACACGGCACAGACTGAGCCACACCTTTGGAGGGCAGGCCTACCTGGGGGTTTTCCTCCCGTTTTGGTTTTGGTGCAGCAGGTGGAGTGATGGTGCGACTCTCCGTTTGTTTCTCATCTGCTTCTGTATGGGATTTAATTGTCTAGGAGAGGAAAATTAAATAAAAATTCAGAATTCATTTTTTATTGAAAGAATGAAAACAAACAGTAGTTTAACTATAGCCAAGAAGGGAAAAAAATAATATACTCAAAGTGGAAACATTATTAATAAATAACTTAATATTATGGATTTCATTTTGGAAGAGGGAAAAGTAAAATGTAAAATCCCAGTTGAAATGATTAAATTGTGTAGCTAGAATAGATATGAATCTATAAGTACAAGTCTAAATTACACAAAAGAAAAAATTCATGGCTTAATCCCTACGCATAAAAATAAAGTAGAGCTTCAAGCTCTGATTTCAATGTTAGGATATAGGGAAGGTTTCTAGAAGCAAGCCCACCCTTGTCACACTTGGGTCATGCTCCAGTCCATAGCATGCTGAAGATCCAAGTAGTGTCCAAAAAATCTTACACACCTACTCTTCTATTTCAAAATAATTCCAATCATAATCTAAGAGAGATTGTAGAACTGCCCTTACTTGGGATATTTAAAACCTGCCTGTATCACCCATTAGAGATGCAAGTGCCAAGAAAAGGTCATTTTGCAAGAAGCTGACATCCTCATTACCCCTAACCTCCTCTTCCAGATGCATCCATTTCAAACAAAAGAAACACCAGTAGCATACCATCTTCAAACACAAATGGCAGCTAGCAAATTGGTAGACTGGCCTTGCATTGCTATTCTTATCACAACCCAATGAGCTAATTCATTTTATGAAGCCCTCTGTAAATACTGAAGTGATATTGTAACAGTGGATAGAAAACTGTAAACACAAACCTAATTTATTTTTTCAAAATTAAAGAAATATGTGATGCTAATAGTCTTTTTGTATGGCAACAAGAAGTAATTGAATAAATGAGAAAATGCCTCATTATTGATGAGCAGGAGTCAAATGAAAGACTTTGGTCCTACCAGCAGGGCACCAAAAATTTTCAAAAATCATTATGTTTTATAATATTTTACTAGATCTGTAAAACTAATGCAGTAACAAAGATATTTTGTTTCCTCTCCTGACCACTTGCGCATTTCCTTCTACTTTTTATATTTTTACTTTAGGAAAGTGCAAGCATCTCCCTCATCAGTACCCTGACAGTGACTGTTCTGGGGTACAAGTGTTGGCATGCATTTTTTTAACCAGTGCCCTGTCATATTTCCCCCTTTATATTAAGCCACTTGAAAACAGGGACTGTTCACACACCTTTGCACCTTTTGTGCCAAGAACAGTGCCTCACGAAAAGGAGGTTTGCAATAGAGTTGCTTATCTTCTTAATGGGGAATATGACCTACATGAACACTCACTTATATCTGCCTTTTCTCTCTCTCTCTCACACACACCTCCTTCTATCCTAGAAGGACCTATCTCCTCCATAAAACACCTATAAGGGAGACAACAGGAAAGCACTCCATAGTGACATTTGTAAGGTCCTGGGTACCCAGCTTATTTTCATAGCCCTCTGAATGTGGGAGTACACCAGTCTGAGAGAGGAGAGAAAAGTGAAGGTCAACTGTTAATGGTTTGCTGCTCCATTTCAAGGCTGTGTGAAGTTCCTTGGAGTCTCTCAGTCCTTATCTAAGGTTGAGTACAGCACTGAGTGGCAATGTTTCTGGGGAAGAGCAAAACAATTCTCTCCACTATGGAATTACCCAGAGTTCAAATTTTCTCACTCAGGCAAGAGCACACTAATCTCAGGGTTAGATAAAGAATACTGAAAGCACCCCAAAGATGAAGCAAACAAAACATTGGGGGTATCTTTCACCCATGGGTCTCTCATTTGGGAGGATGGCAATAGCCATGTTGTGAATAGCACTCAGGTGCTCAATAGCCGTGAGGAAGGGAGGCCTGCCAGCAACTACGAGACCAAGTCTGGAAGTCCGGAGTTGAGTCTTAAGATGACAGCATCCTGGCCAATTAGTTGGATTGAAAACTTGTGAGGGACCTTGAATTAGAACCAATCAGTTAAAGCTACAACTCTATTCCTGATCCTGAGACAGACTGTGGGTTAATAAATGTTGTTTTAAGCTGCTTAAAATAAACAAACAAAAAAATATTAGGGTAGGGGAGCAACATCACAAAAATGACAGAGTAGGGAGCTCTGAGAATCAGTACTTCCACTGAAGAAACCATTAAACTGGCAAAAGCAGAATCAACTTTTTAGAACTCTAGTACCTAATAAAAAACTTATAGCAACCAGGGGAGCACTTACTGAATAAAGAGGTTGCTAAATTTCAGTAAGAAAGCATTTTTCCTTAGCTACCTACAAAACCCCTTACCCTAGCTGGACAGATGCTGTGGGAATGGTGACCTGCCTTCCTGGTGTGGCTTGCTGGTGCCAGGGGGAGCAATATGGACCTTGTTCTCAAAAACTTGTGGCTGTGCATTTTGACCTCTGGTGGCTCCCTGAGGACTGGTTTAGGGCCAACCCTTGTTTTACCCAACTTAGGTTGGTGAGGTTTTCTAGGTGGTGTCTGATGAAAACATTTAAAGACAACTATGTTACCCCCAGTCACCCAGCTCATAGTGGAAGAAGTATACAACAGATTTCAAAGCCTGGGAAGGAGGAGGTTGAGAAGGAAGATTCTTGGAGGAGTAAGGACTTTGAAGGGCCATCATGCATACAGGGGAATTTGGAGTACTTGGATCATTCCCAGGGTTAAGGGCATACTCACACATGATCTGAGAGATCCCTGAGCATGTACCTATGGCTGGCTGAGAGGACAGGTGAAGACTAAAGCAGAGGTATAAGTGGCCTAGCCTAGTGCTGAAAGATTTGCCCTGCTCAGAGCCAATCTGCAAAGACTGGGAAAGTTTTTTTTTTTTTTTAATTTACTTATTATTTCCCTCTTCATCTTGGCTCCAATTGTCTAAGGAAATCTATCACTAGTGGACACTTGAAAAGAAGAAATTTCAGTCATCACACATAACAGTCTTAGCAAAAACAGTCTGGAAAAGACACTAAGTAGGTAAGTACAGCCCTCAACAATTAACAACAGCAAACTCCCAGGGTGGGAGGGGAATCTAATTTCTAGAGTTATTGTGTTGTAATTTTAAAATTAAGAGTTTCAAACAATAACTAAAAGGCATTAAAAAAAAAAACCAGGAAAGTATGGCACCTTCATAGGAAAAAAAGAAATTCACAGAAACTGTCTCTACAGAAGCCTAGACACCAGACTATCTAGAGAAAGACTAAGCAACTGTCTTAAATACACTTTAAGAGCTAGAGGAAACGTAACAGAAAAGTTAAAGAAACCAGCAGCACAATGTCTCACCAGTAGAAAATATCAATAGAGAGACCTTTTATTTTTTAAAAAGAACCAAATTAGAAACTCAAGCTGAAAAGAATATTAGCTGAAATGGAAAGTTCACTAGAAGGGTTCAGGCAAAAAGCAAGCAGAAAATGAACAGCGCCTAAGGGTGTTACCGACGTACTGACATATGCATTATGGACACCTGGAGGAGAGGGAAAGGAAAAGGAGAAATAACAGCTGAAAAGCTCCCAAATTTGATGAAAGTTATAAATCCATACATTGAAGAAACTCAGCAACCTCAAAGTAAGAGAAACTGAAAGAGATTCACACTGGCAAAAGCTGAAGTCAAAGAGAGGATCTTAAAGGCAGCAAGAAACAAGTGATGTATCACAACAAAGAGGTCCTCAATAAGATTAACAGTCAATTGATCACTAAAAACCAGAAAGCAGAAGGCAGTGGGTTGACTCATTTAAAGTGCAGAAAGAAAAAAAAAAAAACCAAAAACTATTAACCAAGAATAGTAACCAGCAAAAAGGTAGTATTGGTAGATGCTCCCTAAATGAAATGCCAGAGAGTCCCCTTCAGACTGAAATAAAGACTCTAAATGGTAACTTAAAACCATACAAAAAGTAACTCCATAACATAAAGGTAACTACATAACATAAAAAGGAGTACTATTGTATCTTTGATTTGTAACTTTTTCTGTCTTCTATTTCAAAGAGAAACCCACAACATGGAAAACAGGTACTCAAACATACACAGAGGCATGAATATCCATAGCAACACTATTCCTAATAGTCAAAAGGAGGAAATAACCCTAAGGCACGTGAAAGAATGAATAAACTATGGTATACAGAAATATGGAATATTTTTTATTAAATGGAATATTTTCTTCATTAAAAAGAAATGAAGTACTGACATGTTGCAATGTGAATGAATCTTGAAAACACTGCTAAATGAAACAAATCAGATACAAGGCCACATAGTATATGATTCCATTTATATGAAATATTCACAACAGGTAAATCTAGAGATAGAAAGCAAACTGAGGCTTGCTAGAGGCAGATGGGAGAGTAAATGGGAAGTAACTACTTAAAAACTGGGTTTGATTTTGTGTTAATGAAAATGTTTTAGAACTAGATCGAGGTGGTGGTTGCAGAACACTGTGAATGTATCGACTGCCACTGAATTGTTCAGCAGTTAATGATATGGTTAATAGTATGGGATGCAATTTTCACTTCAAATTAAAAAATTAATTTGGAAACAAAAAAATGAATTAAGCTAAAAGCTTGATTTCTTTCAGAGAGTCAAAGAGGCCTCTCTATAGGCCCTTTTGTTTTATTTTCTTTTCTTGGTCTGTGTGGTGTTTCAATTGTTACTAGTATTTTAAGAACAAGATGATGTTTTTCTGGTTTTTGGAAAATGTTTCCATATTATAAAAATTGATCACTATGAGAAGTAGCTGCTTCCTTGAGATGGCATCTCTTGCGCTTTCTGTTATCTTCTTGACACTAAGGCCAAATTGCACCTTTGTTGTGCTTGTCTTACTATTATATTTCAAAGAGAAACTAAGCATAAAAGTGGGATATCTCTTGTAATCATGTTATCACTTGTTTACTCCCAGTCTGCTTTACCTTTTATATTTCCTGCCTCACACACATAGCTATGTGAATTTGCAATTTGTTCTTTTTGGTATTATAAAGACAGAAATCAAAGGCCAGAAAAGATTAGAAGTAAATTAACCATTTATATCCGAATCCAAATTCACCTTCTGAGATTTAGCTACATGAATAATCAAATTTAGGCACTTTCAAAGAAATAAATATGCAAATAGTTTTATTAATGACAGTTAAATAAATTCAAAATGAAGTTAAAGGGGAAAAAAACATTGTCTGGTCACGTGGGTCTATTTTCTCTACTGCGGCACCAGCGCTACAATAGAGGGCAAAGAGTCACCAGCCCAGGTTTACTAGGAGACAAGATGGGGATTTGCGAATAATAGTTCATCGTGGAAATATTCTTGTTTTAGAGGATATTGTGTAGGTTCCTATGGCAATTTGGCAATTATTTTCCCACAGAACCCTGGGAATATCCATGGAAGTCTCTGTTGCAGGGGATGGTATGGGGTAAATAAGAAATGATCATAATTCCTTAGAACTAACTGCTTCAGGCATAGTCTAATGGACTTGAAGTATTTATCTCTCTCCTTCAACAGGTGCTTAGCTCCGTTTTGCAGAGTGCTGGAAAGAACAAGGGTGTAAAAGGAGGTGTAACGTAAGTGTGTCTGACTTTATCTACTTTTCTGACTTAAATATGTTTCTAGCCTCTTTAAATTCTATCATTTGTTTTTTTAGAACCACAATGTCAATATAGCTTCTAATAAACAAGGAAGACAGGGGATCAATCTCTTATCTGGAGTGGATAAGGAAACCGGTGATTCCTGACAGGGGAGGAAAAGTTGTGGTAACTGACATCATCATCATCGGCTCCCTTTCCTGTGCCAATGTGGAAGGCCTTTGAAACCACACAACTCATGGAGGCAATGCCACAGTTCCTGCTCCAAGTGCTCTGACTAGTGTTCAGGCTTTGGTTTACCCACCCTTGTATGTAGATATCTCATGCGGCATAGCAGTGGCACCTAAACAACAAGTTTTTATTAAGTGAACACTGTCACGCTAAAGCAAACAGTAAAAAGCAAGAAGGAGCCCATCTCGCCTAGTCACACAGAGAACATACTGGACATGGGTTTTGATAACCCTGAGCAGGCTGTAAGTGTAACTTCCATGGCTACACTCATTCCATGGCTTCACCCATCCCTGACATCTCTTCAGAGCTATAAATGTGATATTGGGAATAAAACATGAAAGAAAAAAGGATAGAAGAAGGATCTGAAGTAAAAGAATTCTGAGAATGGAGTCCAGTCTAAGGGGAATCCCTATGGAGGGAGTGTGGTACCCTGTCAGACTGTGAAGCCAGGTGGTCTGTAAACTACAAGAGCAATGACTGGGTTCCCCTATTAGATCAACAACAAGAGGAGAGAGAATGGGATTTACTACTACAGGAGATTTGTTTTTTTTTAGTTTTTAAGATAGCATGGATATCTTTTTATGATATTACAACAAAAAGCTCTATCAACATGTAAGGCTAGAAATGAAAAGATATTCAAGATCTAACAAAAAGTTGCATAATTAACTGTCTGATTTTGGTTTTAGCTTTAAAATGTGTTAGTATATGCACAGAAAATATGTGGAGAAATACAAACTACTTATAACGACTTATGGAGATAACATTTTGGTGAAATTATGGGAAACATTTACTCTTCTCATTTATAGGGTTGTCAGAAAAGTCATGCCATATTTTTTGTTTTTCAAGCAAAAATATATCATGACTTTTCCAACAATCCAATACATATATACATATATATACTTTCTACAATATATATTTCTGTAATGTGTGCATTTTTTTTACAATGAACATGAATTACATCTTTGTAACCAGTAAAAAAAATGTAAAAATAAAACAAAACTAAAAAAAATTCTTGCTTTCTAAAAATCTTTTAAAAAGGTCAAAGGGAAATAATACTTAGTAATCTAAAATAGTGTTTTGAAACCACATTCTTTGGAACAGGAAAGTTTCTCAGAGGCTCTTTGAGAGTCAGCCTAAGATATAAGGGCAGATAGTTTCCAAATGTGACCTCACTCAAGCTAAGCTTGAGCATTTTATTTTCAAAAATTTAAGTTAACAGTAAGTCTGAAAACGTCTAATCTAAAATATGTGTAAGTATTACTGAATATTTTTCAAAGCATTTCCTGGGGGCTTGAGTAGGCGCCCCAGGAATAGAGATGCATGCTCTGAGCACAAGATTTTGGTACCCTGCTTCTTGGTACAAGGTCTACTGCCTTTATGAGCTGCCTGGGTGGGAAGCCAGGCACTCTGTGCATAAGGCCCCTCTGTTCAAGAAGGCCACGGCAGCAGGAAGCCGCCTCATTCCCCACCATCTGGCCAGCTCCTCTGAATCATGGTCAGCCATCCAGAAGCAGAAGATTTAGAATCACCAGAGATTATTTTCAGATGAATGAGGTCTCAAGCCTGAGCAATTAGAAATAGGTCAATGACTTTATGAAATAACTTTCCTGAAAGAAGATGCTTTTCTTTGTAAAATTCTTCTCCATCACTGGTCTTTCTTTAAATAGAATATCATGACCACCTAAAAATCCTTTTTCTTGCTTTTGGAAGTCTTTCTGTCACAGGACCATTAAGTATTTTTGGAGGTTATCTGTATTTCCCCAGACTCGTTTTTTCAAAAACATGATTTTAGAAATGAAAGACTGAAATGTCTGCGCTAAAATGTCTGAATCCTCTAGAGTTAAAAGAATGGTTTTTAGACATTTTAAGTTTTTCATTTGGCTCTTCATTATCTGTAATAACCAAGGACAATCTTTCAATAAAAACCCTTTCTTTATTTCTTTTGTTTGTTCTTCCTGACTTTCATAGTCATACCCTCATCTGGATCCTTATTGGGCCAAAACTAAAATGGTATTTTCTGTTTACTAGCTCATCTGTGCTTCCTGATTGAGGGCAGCAGAACTCATCTGTGATTTTCTGCTTCAAAACCAGCAGGGGGAGCACACTCACACAGAAATCTAAATCTATCTGTAAAGGCCGATGGGAAAAGCAACCCAACTTTCTTCAATTAGAATGGCCCTTTAGCATTGTGAATAAAGTTATCACATAATAAGCAACAGGCTGTCAACAATGTTGCTGAGATAAAAAGCTCTTGAGAAAAATGTGTTTAGAGGCAGCCCAGATTCAATGACAAGGCTACTGCTGAAAGCAGGTGCACACTCTGCATGTACCTGTTTTTCAAGACTTGGCTTGCTAAGCTGTACAGTTTGAGGTCCAGCGAGTCTGGTCCCTGGAGTAGCTATCACAATGCTGGTGAGCTGGGCCATGGGGAACGTTTTGGCTATGGTTGCAGTCTGCCCATTGACAACACGGACTGGGTGGATGGAATTCTGGGAGGTAGGGAGGGTCGTGGGGGTGAACTTGGTCAGCATGACGGGTCTCTGGATAAGCTGAGGAGCTGCAAGCATGGGAGGAGGTGCTGGGGCAATAGGAATGTTATTCTGGGCCACAGGCTTGGGTCGAACCTATGGGGAAAGAGAGAACAATTATTGCATGACTTAAACTTCTCAAGATGTGTAAGTCTTAAGAATTTGCCAGATGTTTCGCATTATGTATGTGAAATGAATTTCAGTACATATACTTATTAATATTCACTTTGGCAATATTAATTCTATAAGTCACAGATGTATAATCTTAAATAAGACTCATCAGCTCATAAGAGGTTCCGAATAGTTTTTCTGATTCCAAACTGCAGCTCCTTCTTCTGCACCATGCAATCTTTGAGGCTGTCTGGTGACATGCCTGATCCAGACACTGGTCCCAAACAGAATGTGCTCCCAGTAGGGTATTAGTATTACCACTGTCCATAATTCACACACTGAATTTCTTTATATCCACAGCTTTGGTTCACCCCTATTTCTGGTCCAACTCTCCATTCTTGATCACTCCTCTCAGTCCTTTTTGTGGGCTTTCATTTCCTCTGCCCAATCCTAAATGTAAATATTTCTCAGAATTTTGTCCTATAACCCCCTCCTCCCCGATGTTCTCATTCCCCGCCAGGGCTCTCGCCCGCCCCGTGGCCTCAGACACCTTGTGTAATGAAGACTCCCATACTTTTATTTCAGGACCAAACATCACCTAAACTTAAGAATTGTATGTTCAACTGTCTACAGACATCACTACTTGGAAACTTACAAAAAGTTCAAAATCAACATGTCTACAACACATTAATTTCTTACTCCAACCCACTCTTCCTCTTATAACCATCACCTCAGTAAATGGCCTTTTCTTGCTAAATAAATTTGAGATTCATCCTTGATGCCACTTCTAATTCCCATATGTTTCTTAAATCTGTCTACTTTGTATCCTCACTGCCACTACTCTGGCGTATTATCTAGCTCACTGATATAGCAGTGACTGAAACTGAAAACTGTGGTTAAAAACATGGTTATCAGTCTGGCCTGGGTTCAAATTTTGGTTCGATCACTTACTAAGTATGTAACCTCAGGCAACATATCTAATCTCTAAGTCACTATTTTTCAAAGTTTCTCAACTGTGACCCTAGGGGTAAATCCTTTCCTCTTATTCATTCATGAAGGCCTGACCTTCAATGAGTTCTGTTCTGAAAACCTGATCAGAGTAAGAATGTCAACTATGTTACTAGGCAACATTACTTACGGTAAAAATGATTTCTTATTGCTACATCATATCTGGAAGGGGGAGAATTATAAATACTTGATGGGATATCTTGCCTTGGGCGTCATGAAGTGGGGTGACTCTTATAACTGGGCATATCCTTGTGATGACCTTGAAAGCAGTGCCCACAGAACTGTTATTACAAGATATATTAGCTCTGTGAGGCTAAAGGCTTACATGCCATCATGACCTGATAAATATCTCATTTCTTCGCACCTCAACTATCCTCTGACAGCTGCAGAGACTGGTATATGGGACTACTAAAGGGACTTCACTGAAGAAAAATGTCTGATGCCCTCTCTTGCTAGCAAGCTCTGGTCTCCATCCTATATTGTTTCAAGTAGACTGGAGCCAAGTATGGTGTGTGACAGTCTTGAGACTCTAAATTTCAGCATATCTTAAGGAGACTCTGTGGTGGGTGCTGTAGATACAGAGTAGGAAATACATTTTACACTGTAACCACTACATACATACCAAGATGTATCTATAACTCTACAAAACAAAATTCATGAAACAATACTTATGTGCTATGTACTGTAAAATTTCCTATTCTGCTTTGCTCATTTTAATTAAAAACTGTGGTTACAATCATTTAATTGATTTCACAGCCTACTAATGGTTCATGACCCACTGTTTGAAAAACATGGACAAAGTCTTAGATTCCTTATGTACAAGAGAGTAACAGCCACTTTCACAGGGTTTTGGTGACGATTAAAATAACCCATGTGAAGAGACTAGCACTGACACATAACAAGATCCTCTAAATGTTCACTATTAATACTGTGGACAATGTCCCAACCGTTCCTCCTGCCCAGTCTTGACCTTCTCTAATCTATTTCCCACATAGTGATGAGAATTTTCTGAAACAAAAAATCTGAGTATGCCAAGTGCTTGTTTGAAAATGCTTTAATGGGTCCCCACTGCTTCTGGAATAAGGTCTGAATTCCTAATATAGCCCACAAGGTTCCACAGGTGCCGGCCTGAATAAGTTTCTCCAGCCCCCTATTATTCTGGTGTGAGTCAGCCACATAGCCCCTGTGCTCAGACACATCAAGTCTCCTTTGGTACTCTGAGGTTCCATGTATCTCTCTTTTCTGAACCTGCACATATGCTCTGCCCTCTACCTGGGACATTTTCATTCTTACCCCTGAAATGTCAAGCTACCTTTACCAGGATTTTAGGCCTCATAATGAATGTCAATTCTTCAAGGAAACTTTCTGTCATACTCCTAAATAATGAGTTGGGTGCCCCTCCCATCTTTTCTGAACTACTCTCCACTTCTCATAATGGACACTGTAATTGCATGTACATCTGTCTGAAGCTCTGTGAGGACAGAGAACTGTCTGTCCTGAAAACTGGTAGTATTTACAGTGCTTAATGCCTTTTTTGAAGCTCAAGATATTTATTAAGGATTTATCTGATAAATGATTGAAATCACTTTGTCTCATGTTATTAGCACTGCCTATCTCCCCCCCCAGAGACAACTTAGAAATCACTTATGGCCAATAACCACAAAATCCCTTCTCTTCTCTCTTTGCCTGAAAACCTGGGGCTTCAGATAGAAACTCCAAAGATTTCTACCAAGAAAAGTAGAAATCTCCTCAAGGTCCAAACCGGGCAACTATGACATTGTGCCATTAGAATGGTGAGTTCAGCCTAACTGCTAGTAAGAACCTCCTCAGGAGAACGTGCGCAAACAGAGCTGGGTCCCTGTATTGCGCCCTAGTCTAAATCTTTATAAACAAGGCTTTGTGTTTAATATGATGCTCAGTGCCATCACTGCCCACAGTACTACTTTATGATTTCTACTGGTTAGCTTGGGTACTATTGCCTTCCCCCTATTCTCTTTGGCACATAGGAAAGAAATATGAAGTAGTAATTGCATTCCTTCCTCACTAGCCAGCAGGTTTGATTAAATTATTCTAGTAAGTTTACATTAGAAGGCTTAAAATGGTGTTGTCTTTATTGTTTTAAATTTCAGAAATTTTTCTTTTCCTCATACCCTGCCACTGCCGCTGGTCACTGCTAAGAAACACAACAATAAGTTTCTTCATGGTATAGAAATCAGCAGCCAGAATCTTTAGCTAAGTGGGATCTGAATACAGCTGAGCTGATAAGTGCATTAAAAAGGCTGCTTGGAAGAGCCCATTTGAGGATCCTCCCAACCCATTCACTGTGCTTGTCACTGGTTTACTCACCTGTGGAAGAAAGTTTGGACGTGGAGTGAGTCTAGGAGGGGGGATAAATTGTGGTACTTTGATGGGCTGAGGAGGTGTTGCCTGAACCTGCTAAAAAAATGGAAAAGATAAATAAAACAGAGAGGACAATAACTTCAATATCAAAGCTAGATTTTTTTTTTTTTAAGCTAGGCATTCTTAAAGTATTTCAGCATCACTATTCTCTGGACCAGACAATATTTTCTTCAAACAATATCTTCTATGAGCTTTCATCATATAATTAACATTGCCTTAAAAATGTGTTTTGTTCTCCCACCTGCATGCTTTACTCCACAAAGTAAACCAACTACATTTGTCTCCTTATACACCTAATGGAAACAACAAGCTCTGCAATCTTACACAATTTCCTTTGACACTGAAGAACTCTTGTACTTATATATTTAAAAAGTCAAGACTGGATCCAAAATAAAAATCAAACTTGCTGCCTGGCCAAATGAGCTTTAGAGTATTATCTAATAGTGAATAACATTATTCCTATGAAGAACTGTCTAACTCTCAGCATCTGGCAAAATATATGGTTACTTCTTTAAAGATTCCTGGGTAAGTGGTGAAGCTTTATTGCTCTCTAGTTTCATTGGTCATCATTCAGAAGTGACCAAGAGTTATTAAACTGACGTTTTAAGAAGGGATTTTTAAACCACAGTTTTGATATATTTCCACCAAGTTTGTGAAAGCATCAGTTTTTAAAGGTTTTACCCTGGAAATCTCATGAACAATTTTTGTTCAAGTACTCCTTCCTTTCAAGGGTCTTTTTTTCTTATTGACCTTGGACATGAACAATGTTAATTTGTAAGTTTCTTGAATATTTTAATTATTTTATTAAAAGATTTATTTATTATACAAGAACCGGGGTACAGGCCCAATGCACGGGAGGGTGAGAGGTTTTACCAGAGACAGAGCGGGGAACAGAACAGGCAGACTGATGAAATACACTGCTGAGGGGAGCAGCGGGCAAGACAGGAGAGATGTGCCGTGCCATGTGGGACCCTCGCTGGCCAGCCAGGATTGAACCTATGCTGCAGAGACTGTGGACAGCTTCACAGCGCTGCGCTCAACTGACTGCACTACCAGGGGAGGCCCTCTTGAATATTTTTAAAGTGCCCCAACTAACCCCAGAACTTCCTGGGTGCAATTAATTAGAACTAAAAGAATTCAGCAAGGAGTTTCCCCCAAAATCAATAGTGCAGTGCCAGCGTGTATAAGCATTCACATGTCACAGGAAGGACTGTGGGTAGGATAAAGGGAGAGAAATATGAAATGGCGTGTATACCTCTGGGAAGGACATTTCCCCCCACTATAGTCAAGTCCTACTTAGATCTCAGAGAATGTTCAAGTAAGTTTTGGTCCTAGGTGTCAGGACACTTCTACAGCTAGCTAGGAGACAGCAGGAATGCCAAATTCCCTTGTCAACTCCAAACAGGGAATTTGGAATGGTAGAAGAGTGATGGAGATTGAAAAATCCAGCAGGAGCATAAAACGGATATACTCTACAAATGCATATCCTGACCCCGCTCATGTGGGCACACATGAGTAGCAGCTGCTGGCTTACCAGAGTGACTGTGTTTTTTGCCACAATTTGGACAGCCTCTGCCCCAGGCCCAGTGACCTTACTAGACGTCTGGAGGTTGACTGGTGTGTTCTGCACATCAGTGCTGAGCACAGCTTTCTGACTGTTGATGGCGGTCACCATAGCAATAGTAGGTCTCTGGCCCACAACAGAGGCAGGCATGGTCGCAGTTGCTGCTTTCAAGACGAGAGGTAGTGTCTTTGTGGTAATCATAGAAGCTGTAGTTACAGTCTTCTAGGAGACATGGAGAACAGGTATTAGGATACTGAAGCGTGATTCCACTAAACAATATGCTGCTAACCCCCAGAAGAAAACAAAGTAACAATCTCATAACCAAAAAAGCAGGTCAGTATAACAACATTTCTGTTCTGACATGGAACCAACACCCTTACAAGGAAAGATCATCTCTACTTTGCTAGAATTCTCAAGTTCACAGGAATAACTACAAACTAATATGGGCACAGGGCTTTCAACAATGAATGTGGTGGGTTGACAGATACAAAATGTGAGTATAACTTTCCACGGAATTTTCTAACTCTTTGAATGCTCTCAATTAAATATGCAGAAGTTTCAAATTAGTGAGGTATACTCCATCTCGAGCCTTACTTGCTACAACTTCTTCAATATGAGGAAAACCATCATACAGTTCTGGTTATCTGCCTACTATGACATAAACGCTAGGATAAAAGGACAGTGTTCTTTTCATTTGTTTGAGTGTCACCCTGGAGAAGGGAAAGTGAAAACCACATGAGGATAGGCACAACTGCTACCTTAGAGGCAGTAAATCCCAAACTCCAAATAATAAAACCTATTAACCAGCTTGTATTGTAAATACCATCTCTTGTTACCAGCAGGATATGAATCACTACCTATAATCTTTTCTCCAGAGAACTGCTGTAGAAGTGATCAAGGATCCAGCGAAATGTGACAAGGTGGAAACAAACACCTGAGATTCAAAAAGCCTAACAAATCAGAGGATGAACTGAGGGGAGAGAGCTTGAGTGATGTCCCATTAGTGCTGTGCAGCTATAAAGTTGTATTTTTCTAGACTCTTTTATTAGAGTAATTAAGGAAGTCATTTAAAAATAATAAAATATAAACAACTTTATTACATGGCATACACTTCTATCTAGTGCTGTGAGTCGTTCAAGATGAAGGTGTTTCAGAACATGAAAACTTATTGGATCCAACTTGATTCTAATTTTGATACTACTCCACCTTTTCCTTCTTACTCTATACTTGGCACTGTCCAATTTATAACCACTAGCCGCATGAGGCTATTTAAATTTTAATTAAAACAAAATGCAATTAAAATATTAGTTCCTCAGTCATGTGAGCCAAATGTCAAGTCTCAACAGCCATTGAGACTATTGAGCTACCATTGAGCTACCAAGTTGGCTATTGGCTACCACGTTGGACAGCGAAGATTTCTAACATTGCAGGAGTTCTATTGTACGACTTTACTCCAGATCAGTGGAAAGTACCCCAACTCTCCCTGAAATATCTGTACAAATTCCCTTGTGAACTTCTACTTCAGTTGTCAGTGTAATGTTGTTTGGTTCTAAGGAATTCTTTATTTCCATTTTCTTCCTTAAATACATCACACATGTATGTATTACCTGTTTTAACATCTTTTCTCCTTTTAATCAAAAAATTAAATGATCTGGTCTCACCTAGTCCTAATCCGCAATCCTTATTTATGAGTGTAATTAAAAATCGTCTGAATCTTTGTTTCCTTTTATCTAAGTCATCAACACAGGAATGGCTTACTCTCTTCTTAGCCTTGCCACCTCAAATGTAAAATGGGAGTATATGAGGAGCAGCGATATTTATTTTGGAGGATAGCAGATCGTCTACTTTCTATGAATAATGAGTGCTAAATAAAAGCTAAATGCTATTTGTCATCGGAAATGTTATAGTAGTGTAGCAGGATGGACTGATTTTAGATTACTAGCTATCTTTAATAATTGTTTTTAACTCAGTATGTTAATTACCTCTGTCTGTCAATTTAAAATACTTAAATACAGAGAACTTTTGAAGTGGTGGGCAAGTCACACAATGTGGCATTCAATCCCGGTGCCACCGCTGTTGTGGAAGTAAACTTCTAGTCAGCAGAACTCACTGACATGGATTTTAAAAATAGTCACTCATGGTGTTACTACTTTCAAAGAGGTCAATGCACTTCTGTTTGAAACACCCTTGGTTTAGGCAAATCATTGTCAGTATTTTGAATATACCTAAAGTGATTATTTTTTAAGTGAATAAAACCTCAAACTCACCTGGATCATACACTTACCATTAACTCCAACACTTAAAAAACACTGAAACCTAACAAGTTTGTTCACATCTTAGGTTAACATTTTTATTCTACTTTATATTGAGTTGTGGCTAATTTTACCACATGTAGCATCCTATATAATAACTCTTTGTCTATAAAAGCACAACACAGAGTACTGTATGCATCAATGGAAACTTTTTGGGGAATATATTTACTATTTATTGACTCCAGGTTATTGACATAGTTATTGCTTAGGTCTTTACTCCTGGTGCTTATTCTAGTCTATGAGAACTAGTGAACTATTCTAAGATGTAGGGAGTATAAACCAAACACTTGGATGTTAGAATTTAGATGACAAAGAGAATCTAGAATTTTGAGATCTAAACCTACTAAAAATCTCTTAATTGTTCTAAAGAGGAAGAGAAAACATAGAGGAAAGGTGTCAAACAACAAAGAAAATTATGGGTATGGAAGCTATGATAAGTTCTTGCTTAGTTGATGTTACTGAGTATGATCACCTTCAAAAGAGGATAGCAGTCTCTCCACAGTTTCATGAAGGGGTTCGTTAATTTTGACAAAACTATTAAGTTAATGCAAAAATATACAGCAAGAAACTCTAATAGCAAAATCCTTTCAATTTAGCTTTTCACTGAATTATTGTTTACCTGCAAAGCACGAGGTATTGATTGAAAACAGATAGATACCAATATGCAAATTAGTAGTTAGAGGAATTACCATGGGCTCTAATTAACCACCACACCTACTTTAGAGTATTTTCTTGTTTAACTTTGAATGGTAGGTCACCGATATACAATCAAACCACAAATAGAATCCCCCCTTTTATGTCTATAAGAGTTAATTTTCTGTCTGGTTTTCTTAACTGCATGCTTCTTTATATTTGAATTACATTTTATTTTTTTAATTTTATTTATTTATTTATTTTATTTTTTATAGAGGCATGTTTTATTTATTTGTTTCTTTGTTTGGTTGGTTGGTTATACATGCACTGGGTACAGTCAGAAGCGCGGGAGGGTGAGAGAATTCACCAGAGCCAGAGCGGGGAGCAGAGCAGGCAGAAGGACCGAAGTACACTGCTGAGGGGAGCAGCGGGCGGCAGGAGAGGTCTGCGCGCCATGTGGGACCCTCCTCCGGTGGCCGGGGAGCAGCCGGGGATCGAACCGGCGTCGCAGAGGCCGCGGGCAGCTTCGCAACCCAGCGCTCAACCGCTGCGCCACCGTGGAGGCCCTTGAATTACATTTTAAAAAATACAGGGTGGTAGATAGAAATTGAAGGGTATACCTGCAGTCACCTGTTCTAGTTTTTCATTTTTTTTTTTCCTGTAGATTAGAAAATGTTCAAAACATACATACAATCGTGAATTTAAGTTAACTAAGGGAACTGCTCCCCTGTTTCTTCACATGTTTGATACATGCTAATTACCCAATTTACAATTAAAAATTCTCCTAACATCTCCTCCCTGCCTACTCTGATTGCAATAGTTATTTCTTCTGAATTTAGATATTTAATATATGCCAGACACACTCTCCAATGGTCCTTGACCTAATGAACCTTTAATGACTCCTCTATGACAGTCAAAACCCCCAAAGTTTTGTCATGCATTGGAGAGCTTCCACAAGCTAGTTGCTTCCTACCTTCTACTTTTCTATCACTTTTTCTCGAACCTACACTCCAGCCACATCAGCCTACTTGTTATTCCCAGGGCAGGTTTACTTTTTTGACTCCATACTTTTGTTATTACAGCTCTCTATACCTGTGGGGAAGATCTCTCCCCACTCTGCTCCATTACTGAAATCTGACTTTTCTGTCAAGACCCTGCTCAAAGACTAGCTCCTTTATGATGCATGCTCTGATCCCTCTGGTCAAAATTCCTCTGTTCTTTAGTATTTGCACAGCTCTTTACTGACACTAATTTTACTCTTCTCTGTTAGATGTTTACATCTTCTGCTCCTCTACATTTTAGAAATTCTTGAAGAGAGAAATTTTTCCTTAATTCATAAAATTCTTTGTGAATCTATCCTCTACACTGACTAAGCACAGCACTTATACACAGCAGAGACTCAAATATTTATAGATGAGTGACAATAATTGTCATAATACACTAGATTCTGGTATACTTGTTTGTATACCAGAATGCAGTATACAAAGAGTACACCCCATAAATACTTACTGATAGTTTACTATAAAAACAAAAACCAACCTAGAGAATCTTTTTAGCTTTTAACACTGGAATCTGCATTAAACAGAACATAAAGTACCAAACAAGCTTAGCTAAACCAATTAAATATGTCAGGGAGTGATGAGAGATGCCACACAACACTGCTGTGGGGAAAGCCCCAGGCACGTGGTCCCAGCTCCATAACATCACATACCCAGAGAAGGGATTGTCATTCTAAGTATATGCAAGTATTATATAAGACAAAAAGAATGAAAGTCTATCAGAATAATGTTCTATCAGCTGTATAGAAATTTGCATTGTGTGATCTGGACAGAAAGTTTTCATGGATTAAGAGAGAAAACTGTTACTGGGAAACAATGGATACTACCACATGCCTTCCCTGTAAAATTCTCTGATCAAACTGTACTTTGGAAAGAGAACTCTGCTTAAGACTCCAAAAAAGGTAATCTGATAAATCAGCAGTTTTTCAGAAGAAATACAAGTCTTGGAAAGGGATTCTAAAAGTTGGCTTGAATGTCTAATTTCCAAAATATACTTGTGGTGGAGATCAGGGTAAAAACCATACAGACTGCTGTAGCCAGAAGATTCACAACAGGATTTTCCTACTTTTTTTTCCCTAAGATTTATTTATTTATGCATTCAAGAACTGGGGTACAGGCCAGAGGTGTGGGGAGGGTGAGAGGATTCACCAGAGACAGAGTGGGGAACAGAATAGGCAGACTGACTGAAATACACTGCTGAGGGGAGCAGCAGGTGAGTCAGGAGAGGTCTGCTGCACCATGTGGGTAGCTCCCTGGCCGGGGATGGAATTCATGCTGCAGTGGCTGTGGATAGCCTCATAGGTTGCATCTTAACCCCCTGCGCCACCAGGAGGCCCCTTCTTTGACATTTTATACAATATTGGTATTTCTTTTCTTTTCTTTTCTTTTCTTTTTTCATTTTTGGCAGTACAGAAGAAAAGTGAACAGATGTTTCAGTCAGAACTTCTGGGTTCAAATCTTGGCTCTACCATATTCAAATCATGGCTCTACCATATACTTACCTATCTGATTTTACTTAATTAACTTGATCTCTCTGGGCCTTAGTTTTCTTTTCTAAAAAATTGAGATGATGATGGTATATATCTTCCTCAGAGGGTTGGGGTGGGGATTATGTAAAGCATTCAGGAAGATATTGGTATACAGTAACTTCATTAAATACCAACTATTTGTAGTATTTTTATAAATAATGAATTCACTTGCTAAATGTTATATCTGAACCAGCCCAGTGTCCATAAACAGTGACTGGCCAAGTAAACTATATAATCTTTCTCTATATGTAAAACATATGGTGAAAACTTGGCATTGGTAGATGAGAAGTATCCAAGCTTAGGTTTCAAAAAATCCCTAAGTCCTTAAAATTATGTGCAAAAATGGGCATATTAAGTACGAATGTGCGTTTTTCTAAGAGGATCCATAGCTTTCCAAGAGACTTAAAGGCGTCACCTTAAAGTATCAAAAATCATTGCTAAGCTGTCCCATTTTAAAAGATATGCCCATATAAACGCATGGACATCATCAAGTTTGAATACTTTTTTTAACTGCGTGTCACTCCCAAGTAAGTCTTTCTTGTGTATCCTGATTCTCACCATCCTTACATTTTATGCTAATTTAAATGCCCCTCTCAATAGAAGCATTTGCACAGCTACACCAAGTTAGAATGCTATGAAGCTTCCTTGGTTCTAATTTTGACATGTAGTTTTCATTTTGGGTTTCTTTCAATATGTTAGGTAGATTCACATTCTCATGCACACAGACTTAGAAATGAATATTTTGTTTTTATGAATAATGCAAATATATATATTGCCTTTCTAAGTGCCGACTTCCACCTGGTCCCAAGGGCACTCGGTCCTGGAATATCTCCACCCCTAATACCTAAGAATTCCAGAAAAACAATTCTAGATGAGGGCTAAACCAACACTTTTAGAACAAGTGTAAATACATACTACTAGAAATTAAAAATAAGACTTTAATTCTGGTCTAATGCAGAGAAGCAATTTTTCTTTTTCACTGCCTACTTTTTTGGAACAGGTGGGAAATCACTGAGCTTTTTACTTTTTTATTTTAGTAAATGTCATTTTCTTCTGTCAATGAACTTCAAGTGATACTACTCCAATTATATATAATAATAGAGTAACCAAAATAACGTTTGTTTAGTGGTAGTTGAGTTCAGTATAATCTGAAAGAAGACCCGGTTCTACATGACCAATAACAATTCAATCTACAACACGAAGCCTGCAGCGCTCCATGCACACTTTTACCTGTGAAGCGGTCAGGTTGGGAGAAGGTGCAGCCGACTGGGTGTGGTGGTGGTGGTACTGCTGTTGTTGCTGTAGCTGCTGTAGTGGTTGCTGCTGTGCTGTTTGTAGTTTGTTTTCAGATTGTGGCAATGGCTGTATTTGGAACTTGTCTGGTTGCTCTTGCTTTACTATCAGGTTTTTCCGTAGCTGTTCGACTACTCTTTTCTAGAAATGAAGACAAAAAGAATGAAACTCCATCAGAATATTGTTCTATCAGCTGTATAGAAATTTGCAGCAATTATATGCCTCTGATCTCCTTTCTGTATCAAGCTTATAATCTAAAACATGTGGCATCTAAAATTCACAGATTCAACATAGGAGGACAAACAGATGGCACAAGAAATGTTTTATATATAAAGGAAACTGAGGCATACAGACAGGAGGGAAGCTAACAGAGATCACATAGCAGAGCTCAGATTTCTTGACTAGTGTGCTAGGCTGGAAGGGCAGTAGAGTATAGCTGTGAAGACACAACTCTGGAAAAATGGTGCCTTAATTAAAATTTCATTTTTACTACTTAACAGCTATCTGATGTTAGTCAACTTTCTTAAACTGTTTGTGCCTTAATTTCCTGTTCTGTAAAATGAGGTTATGAACAATATCCTTAGGAGTCTTAAAAGTACCAAAAAAGCTGCTAGATGTAACATGCCCAATTGTGACTGCCACACTGGTGGTCATTTTTCTTTTGTATCTGATAACACAGATAACAGCCATACTAATTTTTGTTAATCAAATCAATATCATGTATCTAGCTGAGTTCCAAACATTAAACAGATCTTTAAACAAAGAAACTTTGGTCTCAGCAATATGCAATATTAACAAGAGACATTCTAAATTACTGAAATGTATAACTCATGAGCAGGATGCTTTCGCCAGGGTAGGATGTATGGAAATGCATACATTTATTTAGGGAGAGTAGGGATGGAGGCTACATGGGGAGAAAATTTAAAGTTAGGGTTTCTTGAATTTTCTAGACCTTGTTCAAATCCAAGAAAAATGTATAATTTGGATTCTGTCATTACTATAATATACTTCCTCACAATGTAAACTCCATGAGGGCAAGGACTTCATTTTGTTCACAACTATAATCTGCACCTAGCACTAGGTAAATGCCCATGTTCTTTCTATAAATGTATGAAGTGATGGGACCCGAGACCAGAAGCACAATAATCATGTGGGTCAGACCAGGGCTCTGAGTTTCCTCCCTAATGGCAGGCAAAAAGGACGAGCAGCACTCCTCATACACTTTGTCTCTTGCTTCTGGTTTACCTCAGTGAGGCCGTATGTAGGAGAGCAATTTCCTAAGGATGGCTGTAGAGGAGAAAAACACCCTTTCCTTTTGTGCCTGGTGTAATAATTATTTAGTTACCTGTATATATATATATATTATACAGTGAGCTCGCCTGCTAAGGGCCATTTCTTCTGATAAAAATAGATTGTTATTTTCTAATATACATTATGGGGTGGAAAAAAGTAAACAAAGATCTCTAAGTAAAGGGTTAATAAAAACCATAGGGTCAGGCTGATTTTTAAATTCCTGCTTCTGAGTCTCACCAATTTCACTGCACATATTCACTGAAGAATCCAAACCTGCAGGTTACTTGATTAATATATTTGAACATTAAAATATTTATAAAATGGAACTCTTAAAATTTTAAGTCAATACAAAATACATTCTTGAGAGAATTTTTTATATTTTTATTATTGATTTTTTAAGACAATATCATGTAAAGATCAATTTGGGGTAAAAAATCTTCTATACTTTGTACTCTGGTTGCACTGCTTTTGAGTAAATATTAAAGGAAAAAAAGGATGCAGAGTCCAAAGACTTTGCAGAAACCATCTGCAGGATAAAAATGCAAATTAATAAAAATATCAAATGCTTATAAAATTAACTTTCAAGTCTTCAAAACTCTCTCTCTCAAGTTTAAAAGGCAGAGTAATTGAACCGATATAGTTTAGGAAAAGAGGAAGTAACAGTAGCGATGTTTTGGGTAATTTTGAGTATCTCGTGTAACTTGGTGACTGCCTGAACATATAGATATTTAGTAATTAAATAATTATCAATAGCTGATTTCAGTCTCCTTCCCCAACATGTTAATCAACATTAATCAAACATTTTAACAAGCTAGCTAAAGTGGAGCATTAGCACTCAGAGAAAGGGACTCCAAAAACCTTTAGCAAAAAAAAAACAAAACACCCAACAGCTTAAATAGGAGGGGGGAGGGGGAGGAAGAGGAACCAGGAGGAAATAATACAACACAAATGTGACACCTGCCAAAAAATAAACTTTGAACAAAAACAGCACAGGAAACTAAATAATTATTACACCAGGCACAAAAGGAAAGGGTGTTTTTCTCCTCTACAGCCATCCTTAGGAAATTGCTCTCCTACATACAGCCTCACTGAGGTAAACCAGAAGCAAGAGACAAAGCCCGGAACCCACTCCCAGTGTGTGCACAACAGAAGGGAACAGTAGGGGAAGACAGAGAAAAGGATGCAGGCTGGAGTACTCTGGAGCCATATGGCTTAGAGCAAGGTGACGGACCAATCAGAACCAGAATCAGCAAAGTGGGAGTCAGTGAGTCACAATGCCTTCACAACTGTTCCTTTCCCAGGGCCTAACAAAGCCCAAGGAACCTGGGGGGTGGGGGTGGGGGTGGGGGTGGGGGGGCAGAGAGCACACACTTCTGTCCTTGAGACGGGGAGAAAAGGAAAAAGAGCTGTGCAGACTGGACACGGGTCAGACCATATGACTGGGTGAAGTGTTATTTGAAAGAAGGCACTGGTATATTTTACAGAGTGCAGCTCAGAAATTCAGAAATGCATTGCCCCAGCACTCCTTGCAGAATAAAGGGATACCGAGCTAGAGTCATACATGTCCCTGAATTGTTTTTAAAAACCCAGGCCTAGGAGAAGAAACACTGATGCCTTCAGTCACTGAAGTATCTATCACTGCACTGTGAAAACCAACAACATAAAAGTTTTTGGTGAGCTCTGCAGTGAAAGCATTCCTTAGGTGCACAGAGATCTTACACATTCCTTTAAGGACTGGCTAATAAAAAAGAGCAGCCTAGTGCAATAGTAGGCTTTTCTTTCTTTTTTTTTTTCCAGATTTATTTATTTATTTATACAAGCACTGGGTACAGTCAGAAGCGCGGGAGGGTGAGAGAATTCACCAGAGCCAGAGCGGGGAGCAGAGCAGGCAGAGGGACCAAAGTCCACTGCTGAGGGGAGCAGCGGGCGGCAGGAGAGGTCTGCACGCCATGCAGGACCCTCCTCTGGTGGCCGGGCAGCAGCCGGGGATTGAACCAGCGCTGCAGAGGCTCCCGGCAGCTTCGCAACTCAGCGCTCAACCGCTGCGCCACCAGGGAGGCCCTAGTTGGCTTTTCTAAATCCCACAGTCCAGTCTCATTCTAGTTCAGTCTTGCAGCTCTGGCAAAAACAACACACACATTAACTCCAGCAGGACCCTGACCTGGGTCAGTATGAGTTCCGGGGGGAGCAAGAGAATGCAGCCATAATGTTTCATAAATCTTAGCTGTGGTATGAAACAAACTTCCTAAGTATCCTCTTATCTCCACAGGCAGTGAGCCTATACTTCTACTACTGTATTTTAAACAAAGTAATTGTGATTCTTCTGGCCATTAAATGAAGGTTATACTGACACAAACAATTTTACATTTTCACTATATTCACTTATAAAAGAGATCTTTAAATGTAGCTAATTTTTTTGGAACAATATCCTGAAGCTTTGAGAACAGGCTAAGCCTCAAACTGAATCATTCACCATTCACATAATTCGTAAGTTAATGAGAGTTAGAAGAGGTAAAAATAGACAAACAAAAACCCAAACAAACGAAGGAAATGAAAACGGAAAAGTTGGGGAAAATGAAAAGAGAACAGAGGGAGAAAGAAGTTAATAAGTTATATAATGACAGAGCCTGTGTGTGTCAGGCGTCCAGAATGGCTAGTACTGCTCCCTTCAATCCATTTGTCAAGAACTGCTCCATAAACCCAGCATGTAATTCTATGTCAGATTCCCTTGACGTGTGGATCCCTAGGTTTCATCAGGCTCATTCAAGGCAGAGAGTTTACAGAGCCTCTGACTCTGTGAGCTGCAGTTACTGAGCCAGGTCGTCATGGCGATCAATACTGTGATATCCAGCAACACTGTCGATGCATTCACACGACAGCAAGGCAGATCCCAAAGAAAAAGATAGAAGTTTATGGGTTAGTTCAACATAAAATTCGGTTCATTTCTTGCGAAGTCAATTGTTCCAAGTTCCGTACCTGGGTCAAACCAGAAGGGAAATGGAAAAGCAGCCCCGCTCCTCTAATCCAGCCTCCAGTTTTCTTTCAGTCCAATTCTCACACAAATTTTAGGAAGATTCTCTCAAAGGAACTCCAGGCACGAGGCCCTTATCTCCGCAAGTGAACACTGGTGCTTCAAATCTCTGCTTTTGCAAACACTCAACTTCTTTTTGCTCTATTCAACATTTTCTGCTTTATAGCAAACACACCCACCCTGAGAACTTACCATATTATTGCTTAAAAAATCACCTTCTTCCTAGCCCCATGAATCAACCATACAATCAGAAAATATAACCTTCACCCTTGATACCATTGGCTGAAAGAGATGTGTCAAGTTTTACAAATCCAGAGTCAAGAATAATTCTTAACCGATAATCTTCATACCTAAAATGCAGTGAAAATCTTCCTAGGTCTTTAGAAACCAATTGTTCAACATGAAACCAGGGATACTTAATTTTTTTATAACATATATTTTAAAAAAGATTTATTTATTTATGCATATAAAAACTGGGGTGTAAGCCAGAGGTGCGGGGGGGGGGTGAGAGGACCCACTAGAGAGAGTGGGGAGCAGAACAGGCAGATCTACTGAAATACACTGCTGAGGGAAGCAGTGGGCGAGACAGGAGAGATCTGCTGTGCCATGTGGGTCAGCTCCCTGGCCAGCGGGGAATCGAACTCATGCTGCAGTGGCCGGTGATAGCTTGATAGTGCTGTCTTTAACCCCTGCGTCACCAGGGAAACCCAGAATACTTAATTTTTATGTTTAGAAAAATTAACATGGCAAATTTGTATTTGTTGATGAGATCAGTATTTGCTCACAGAGAAGAAAATAAACTTTCCACTGTCTGGCT